CAGGAATAGAAAGCCTCATCTTTCTCCCATGGGGCAGTGGATGGTTTCCAACTGCTGACCTCATGGTTAGCAGCCAGTGCACAACCACTACATCACCGGCATTGAACTTGGAGGAAAGCAAAGGCAAGGGGTGGGGCAAGGTGCTTCTCTCTGCTGTCAGGAGAGAACCAGAAAAACAGGAGTAGCCTCAGAATGGCCAGGCAGGGAAGAAGCAAGGGTTTGGAGGTCCATATTAGAGTCAGATCACCACAAAATGGAGAAGAGTCCATACAAAAATCAGTGTAACAGGCCTGGGACAGTGAGCTGGTCTTTCCAATGGAAGGACCCAGACTCTTGGTCCAGGTCTATAATGCTGACAGGTTAAACTCAAACATGTAGTCTGAAGTGGAAGATCAGGCAAGACAGCGGGGTAGCACCTAAGCAGCAATGACACCTACAGCTATTGTGTGTTGAGCATTTAGTATGGGCAAATGCTGTGCTTGGTGCTTCGAGAGCCCACATGAAGACTAATCGTAGATGTTCTATTTCTCCTTCTTCTAGATTCTCTAACTAACCACTGAAGCATGCTTTGGCCACGAGCAAGAATCAAACGGATATGTGGCTCCTGGGTAAAAGCAGGAAGAGCCATTGCACGATTTCACAGCAGTCTTGGCAATCATGAAAACCTATGTCCAGATGGAGTGTCTATCAAGGCAGGCAACTGGAAAGACGGTGCCCTGCCAACTTGCATGGATGACAAGTACGCAGGGATAAGTGTGATGTACTGACCCCCTCGCATTCAGGATTGCTTGCTATTGCAATAGAGACATGGGTTGTCTCATCATGACAATCCTGTGACTCTTTTAAGAAGAAATGTGATTTTCATCTTGGTGACTGTATGTCCTTTAACCAGGATCAGAGTTAAGAGACAGTGTCAGAGTCAAAATCAAGGTCTGTCTTATAAGAGTGCCTACTCCTACAGGAACTCTTTGACAAGAGCCAATTGAATGAGTAGGAAACGAAAATAAGGCATCTCTAGCTCTACAAAAGGCATCAGAAAAGCTCTACAAAACCTTACTGGGCACAAAACCAGGGTCATGAGCAACGTAGACTGCAACATTCCTACATTTAAAAAAGTTCAAAAATAATTTATAACAGTGAAGCACGCCTGGTTCTTTTCATGATGAAGATAGTCAAGCCCTATGGAGTAATTACCCCCCAAATTATCCACAGGGCTGAGCAAACAGGGGTAAATTAGGGACTAAGGGAGCAGTTCCTTACTATTCTGGCTTTGGTGGTGATCCTTTACTGTTTTAGACAATGCCCTTCATTTTTAGATTATACCTAAGTAAAGACAGTATCCTAAGGAGATAAGTCACAATCTGTGTCAGTTTGCTGTACTGTGGCAGGTAAGGTACTGCTATTATTCTAGAAAATATGGCACCGTCATTTCAAATGCCAGCAGGGTCATCCATAGAGGACAGGGTCAGTGGAGATTCTATACTAAGAATGATCTGGCAATCTACTTAAAAAAATAGCTGACAGCGCTAGAAGATAAGGTTAGAAGGCACTCAAAATAAACAGTGGCTGCAACAATGGGCTTAAGCATATCAATCCCCATGAAGACAGTGCAGGACTGAACAATGTTTCTGTTTTACATCGAATCACTTTGAATTCTAGCTGCCTCAATGGCTATCAACAATGTTTCCAATTGTTTTCCAAGCCTAATGCCTTCAAAAATCACATTATAAGACAGACAGGAGAGTCAAAGAGGCAAGAGAACTACTTACAGCTAATAAGACAATATTCTATGCATAACAGGCAATTTTACAGTTTCTTGAAATTTCCAAGTAGAATTCAAAGTGCAGAATTTATGGTACAAACTCAACTTCTTTATAAGCTTTTATGCATGATTTACGACGGGAAGAATTCACTCATGTACATGCCTTTCTTAAGTGTTGGCCTCTCAGTGACAACATTCAATTTAAAGAATGGCTGAAAGTATTGAAATCCATGTGACTTTTCTCTTGTCCAATTTGGAGATACATCCTGTGGCCTTTAAATTAGAAAAGGAGAGGTAAATTATCCTACTTTTAGAAAGCGGATGGAAATATATTCTTCAGCTGTCACTTGACATAATTATTGACTTTCAGATTAAGCAATGCTTCTAAAGTCTGGATGGCGTCCATACGCGGCCACATTTCATCTCAGGGAATTCTGTTATTGTGATGACTGAATCTGGGTGTCATTTGAAGTCATAATTTATTTAAACCCGTAATACTTAAGTTGGCTTTTAAAGCACCAGCAAAATAACGGAATAGGCTGTTTTCAGGTATATGATCTCCACCACAATTATTCATTCACTTTTTTCAACACAATATAAACACTGATCATCCATTTGATGAGGCAGATCAATAGTGTGATTTCCACTACTACAAATTGAATTCCATATAACATATTCTTCCTAGTTGCAACAGCATCCAAGTCAGAGATGCCACATCTGAGAGGGCTTCGAAATGCCCATGGAAAAATGAAATTTAAAGATAATGGAATTTTCCCACAAACCTTTTGAAGTCCCCTTGTATATTTAGAATGTTGTCTTTAATAACATCTACATCACCTTTCATGGCTTTTGCAGCAACGATAAACCAGGTTACAGTTGTTATGAGTTTTTAAATTTCAAATTCTTAATTAGGAGATAACAAAACTATTGGAAACACTCAGAGCTTAAGTCAATAAAATTTACATTTCAGACTAAATTAACTTTTTCATAACACTCCCACAAACATTACTGCATTAAAATTGCCAGTGTATGAACATTTCAAAGGAATAAGAGCCTATCACACACACACACACAATAAAGCAAAGCTCCTTTCTAACTGTAAGCAAGCATAGAAGAAAACACTGAAATAAAATACACACCTACATTTCTCAGGAAACGTAGTTGAGAAAACAAAGAAAAAAATCCATGTTGATTTAAGTAACAGCAAATAATGAATTATTAATTTCTAAATGACTATAAATGCTTTCATTCACAGCAGCTGAGTGGGAGCACAGATTTACACATTACTTTCAAACAATCAACTCTCCCTTTCATTGATCTGTAATCCACATGAGAGGTGTCTAAAACTGAGAAAGCATCTTCCTCTAATGTATGTACTGTCTCTGACTCAAGAAGACATGGTCATAGAAAGCTGCACTATTGATTTTCAGTAAGAGAATACAGGAAATAGATCAGCTAAAGCACACTTTCAGAGTGAAACTGGAATACATTCTATCAACATACTAACACTAGACCATTCTTCCCGGTACTAAAGTCAGATAATATCAGGAACCAAATTACATGAAGATGTCATTTGTCTCCTTTAAAACGAATGACACTATAGGTCTCTTTAGTTATTCTAGAGCAATTTTTCTTAAAGTGGGCACTGTTGCTTTTCAAGGTGCTGTCCTGGTGGTGCAGTGGGTTGCGAACCATAAGCTCAGCAGTTCAAAACTACCAGCCACTTTGGGGAGAAAGACGAGGCTTTCTACTCCTGTAAAGAGTTGGGGTCTAAGAAACCCATGGGGGCAGTTCTACCCCATTCCTATAGGATCACTGTGAGTTTGAATGACAGTATGGAAGTGCATTTTGTTAATTTTAGTTGCCCTTCAAACAGCTTGCCATCCTAGAAATCTCCTTCAGTAACTTTGATGGTCTTAACTAGGATCCACATAGAGCCTGTTAAACAAATCAAAGCTCAGCTTCCCTAAACTGAATCAGGCCCTCAAAACAAATCAAAAGTCAGCTTCCTTAGACTGATCAGGCCCTCAGAAAAAAAAAAAGCACTGGGGCCTTCCTTTCTATGATAACAGGCAAGCATCCCCATTGGGCTCTCCCTCCAGGGAAGCCTGTAGTTGCTGCAGAGGCTGGGAAGCTCTTGGAGAGCTGATAAAACTGAAGTTGGTGCAGCGGTTGGAGATAAGTGTTTGAGTTCCAGGAGCTCTAACGCTTATCTATTTTATCATAATTCTCTACCTGACCCAAATACCAGGTAATCTTCACATTCCATTAATAGACTCAATTTCGATTATGCAGCTCCTTGGGAAGAAGTAGCATCTTTTCCCTAACTAGTGGTGCCACACTTCTAGCACTATTCCCTTAATTTCACTTTAACATTTGGATTAAGGTTTAAAACTCGGGATCCAAAATAAATAAATAAAACTCTAGATCCACTAAACGTCTTACAGAACACACACACAAAAAACTTTTTATTGTGAATTAGGTGAAGGTCTACGGAAGAGTTCATCAGTTTTACATTCAACTTCTCATCAAACCTCCCGAACGCCGAACGCCTTTTTTGGAGGAATTTCTTTCCTTCTGCATGGCAAGTCAATAAAGCCTCTGAAAGTCGAGGTCAACTGCAAGCGAGATCTTTCCCCACCAGCTCCCTCCCTCCAGAGTTGCTGGATCTCGGGAGCAGGACCCGCAGCTGCGCTAACACCTTTGTCCAGGCAACTCACAGATTCCTCCCAAGTAGCTCCAAGAGAGAGGATCGCCAACCACTCATCCCAGGGGACACTGCAGAAAACTCTGGGCTTGTCCTCGGACCCAGGTTAGGTCGCTAGCAGCGACAACTTCACGGATTCGTGAATTTGCTCGTTTCTAGCCTGAGGGAAACACACCTGGGAAACGCACCACTGGGAATCCTGCGAGCAAGGCTTGTGGCCGTTCCACCTTGCATGCCCCGCGCGGGCACCACACGAACCCCGTGCACCGACACCCCACAAAGGAGAAGCAGTGGGGAGGTCGACTGGGGGTGTGGGCCAGGCTCTGCTGGGAAAGGGACTTTCCGACCCCTCCCCGCAGCCTGGCCATTTAAAGCCACAAAGTGCCGAAGGGAAAGCCCCCAAGCCGGACTGGACAGGACGCCCCCCCACCCTCCAGGGGCTCCGAGGGGCAGGCACCCGCCGCCACGGAGGGCGGGGCGCGCGGCAGGTGCCCGGACCCGGGCCCCCGGGAGCGAGCAAGCCCCTCTTACGTGTTCCAGCTTATCTTTCCTCCGGAGCCAGACGCTGGCGCTGTAGTCCTGCTGCTTGACGCTGCTGTAGAAGTTCGCGCCCACTCGGGTCAGGTTGGGCGAGGGTTCCCTGGGGCGGCTTTTGAGCCTCATCTGTTCGAAGCCCTCGTGCGGGGAGGCCGAGAGCCACTCGTGCTGCCGGATCTCCATGCTGACATGACCAGGCGGCGGCCGGCGGGGAGAGGACCCGGG